ATCCCCACTATAGACTAAAATGGGTGGTGCACCTGGATCCCAAAACGGTTTTGACCACCACAGCCATTTAATCCAATTATGCTTGAAGCTGCTGAAGCTTGGGCCGCCTTGCAGGTTTGCGGCTGTAAAGAGCTGCTTCGCCGCAACGGCGGTGCGCGCCTGTCAAACCGAATGCCTTTGTCCCACCGCCTTCGGAAAAGAACAAAAAAAAACGTGTCGAAGAGGCTGCCCTTTGCTGACAAAGGTGTCCTGCTCGCACACCCACATCATCACTGGAACACTTGGAATGCTTGCAAGGTCTGTCCTCTGATGATGACCTGCGTAGCAGTTTATCGCCAGGGCACTATCATAGACACACCAGCTTTTGTCAGTGTGTTAAGCACTTGCTCAGCCGCCCAGTAAATTTTCTAGAGTCTACAAAACCGGGAAAAAACACTTCCACTACATAAACCATGCAGCGGCTGTGCAGGAGCTAGGTTTGGGCTGCAGCTTCATGTTCAGCATTGCAGCACGCCACGGTCGCGGACGAACGCTCCCTTAAAACCATCTCGATGTTGAGCGGATTTCAGCTGGGGGAGGCAAGTCGAAGGCTGGATCTGCGCACGTGCGCTGTGACTGCTCGGATCTGCTCAGTTGCCGTGGAATGGCCCGTTCCTTGACGAAGGGGTCTTTCTTGGCTCTGCAATGCTGGACCGCGTGACACACACTTAAGAACTCTACCCCTAGACTCTCGGCGAACCCCGTAGATTTCGACCCAAGAAAGGCGGTTCTTACCACACCGGACTACACTTGTTCGCCAACAATTGCTGGGCAATGGCTTGTCAAAGCACCCGCTTCAAAATGCACCCAAATGTCCCTTTCCTGCTGCCTGATTGCAACTTCCCTGCCTTGTCAGGCCAGATTGAGTTGAACTGCTTTGCGCTCTCCTCCAACTGCACAAGTTCAACATGCTCACACTGGAACGCGGCGCATAGGGCCCACGCTCACTCTGCAACCGTGACCGTGCTTGGTCAGCCTGCACACGGCACATGCTAAAAACACATACCGCATGCGTCGGCTTGAGTTCATATCCTGCCTTCTTCTCAGTCGGCATCCGGGCCTCAGCCAGCGGTCAGATCGTCAGATCCCGACCCTCCAACTCACTCCGCACAGAGTGCCATCTGGACGAGGGCAACACCGCACGTCGCGGTTGCTGAGACTCCAGCTGGAAGCTGGGTCAGGCGTGTGTGGCTGGATCAGTTCATGAGTTGCTGAGTCCTACCTGTCTAGGAAAGCACCAGTGAACAAGCGGACCCGAGTTGTATGAGTCTCGTCCATCGCTTCAAGGCATTCTGCGATGGCCCGTGCCCACTTTCTCTCTGCTTGTCTTGCTTGTGCTGCGCATCGGTCGTGGGCACTCCAGGATTTGCAACATGGAAAGCCACTCAGCCAAGCTGATCATGCTAGATTGTCAATTTTTGCTTGATGCATTCAGCGACGACTTTGGTGAATCGAGTCTGTCCCGCTTGATAGATATACTCTGACAGATTGTAAACTGGCGCGGGCGCATTGCGAGAAGCCAAGAAGCGTGTTCTCAATGCTCCAGAGCATATATGGCCATGGGTCAAAAAAGCCAAATCGTAGCCCCAGTGAACATCCCAATCCCCCTAAAATGGGTGGTGAATTCACCTACCCCATGGGATCCCAAAACGGTTTTGACCACCACAGCCACATTGGTGTGGCTCAAAATTAGAGAGAGCCAGGGCAAACCGCAGGTTTCTTGTTGGTTGCACTTGCCAAGGCACCATTTTGCTTCATGTTTTTGAGCCACAGCCATACTGTGGATGGACGAAATCCTGCACCACCTAAGAAACCATGGAATGATGATCCCCCTGCAAATACCAACGAACAATGGGTTTTTTCCAAGTGGTGCGAAATGGATTTCGTCCATCCACAGTATCTCTGCTTCTGATCCAGGTCACAAGCTCGAGGCCTTGGACGGCAGCTTCTCGGCGACCAGCTCCAGCGCTTTGAAGGGGTTGGACACGTTTTGCTTGACGCCTATGGGGCCGCGTCAGAGGCCACGCATCCCAAAAAGGGCGAGAAGTGAATTGCAAAAGCTACTGTGGATGGTTGCGAAATCCATAAAACGCACCACCGTTCAGAAAGCCTGGTTTCTGATGATTCCCCTGTAAATGCTAACAAACAATGGGTTTCAACCATGATTTCGAAGTGGTGCAGGATTTTGTCCATCCACAGTATCAAGTCGTTGTCGTGCTTTGGTAGACACGCAAGCAAATCTGAACTCACAGGTGTGGTCGGTGCACAGCTCAAACATCAATGCGCAGTGACACGTGTGCATGTCCAAACAAAACTGTGTCTGTGGCAGGGATTGGGCCTGTCGCATGCTGAGGTGGAGCCACAATCCGGCAGCGATACACACGAAGTCCAATTGGAGCAAGAGGCCTTCAAGGCAAAGCAACACTTGTGATTTCAAGCGGCGTTTGGCACATCCAAGCGCCGGTCAAAGAAACAAACGGTGCGAACGGCAGGTTCACTTGTGGCGGTTTTATTCCCAAGAAGGGCTGTGGCAACCAAAACACAAAAAGGAATTCCAAAATGGGTTGCCCGATCGGTAGGTGGAAACACGGACCCAAAATTCCTGCGGTTTGCCCCTCCGGACTCGATCCCGTGGCGGTCCGTCTCCGGGAAACAACTCCCCGGAGGCCACGTCCGTTTAGGACTCGTTTAGGGGTTTAGGGTGGAGGTGGGTGGCTTGGTTCAGGGCGGGTTTACGGTTGTTTTAGGTGTGCCTAGGATTGGGTTAGGGTTGGGTTGGGTTGGTTTGGGGTGGTTTCGGGTCGGTTTGGGGTTGGTTTTGGGTTTAGGGTCGTTTGGATCGGTTTAAATATGGTTTGATGGTTGATGTAGGGTTGGCTTAGTGTGGGTTAGGGTTGGTTTAGGTTGGTTGTAGTGTGTGTTGGATTGGCTTGTTCAGGGTTGGGTGGAGTAGGTTCGTTTAGGTTTGATTTAGGGTTGGCTTGAAAATGTGTTTAGGACTGGCTTAGGGTTGGTTTCGGGTTGGTTTAGGGTCGGTTTTGGGTTAGTCTAGGGTGTTTAGGGTTGGCTTGGGCTGCTTGCTTGCTTCCTTGCTTGCCTGCCTGCCGGTCCCTGCCTGCTTTCCTACTACCTACCGTCCTTGTGTTCTTGCTTCCCTGCTTCCCTGCTTTCCTGCTTCCCGGCTTCCCTGCTTCCCTGCTTCCCTGCTTCCCTGCTTCCCTGCTTCCTTGCTTCCTTCCTTCCTTGCTTCCCTGCCTTCTTCCCTCCTTCCTTCCTGCCTGCGTACCTGCTTGCTTGCTTGCTTGCGGACGGGCGTGCTTGCTTGCGTGCATGCTTTCTGGTTTCCTCACCGACCAAGAACTGCAGACTTCTGTGGGAAAAAATGGCGGAAATAAATGTCTCACCTCTGCAAGAACTGCCCGTGCCTGTTCGGTCTCAAGCGTGCATCTGCCTGTGTAAGGCTAAAAACGGCCTGGGATGCGCGACACAAATCCACGCCAAGCCGTTTGCCAATTGCCGCAGTTCGCCTGAGCCGGCGATGACACTGAGACCAGCGGGTAGATGGGTGTCTCGTCGGACATTGTGACCTTCCGAGAATGCGCAAAGAGAAACAAACACTGTCTACTCATGGTGCATCCAGCTAAAGCCTACAGCCTGCTTGTGGAAAGTCTCTGAGTAAGCCACCGCGGAACATTGCCATGACGGTGGCACCAAGCGCGCCTATGCTTTCACAGAGCTATTGCCCGAGCAAGCCCGGTCACAAACCAACGGGAGAGTACTGCAGGCCTCTGCTACATCGGTGAAGTGCTGGCAGAAATCCTGAACGAAAGTCTACCGAGCTTTGAGTCAAGCAAACACAAATCCACGCGAGGCTCCTGGATGCTCATCCAGAAAGTCTGACATCCCGGGGGCTGCTTGACCCCGCACCGGTATGCCCTCAGCGCATAGAACGCCCTCTCCAAGTTCGTGGAATTGGGGGAAAAATCGGCTGTGGCTCAAAAAACCGGTACGAAAATGGAACCCTGGTAAGTGGAAACATGGACCAACACCTGCGTAACCCCTCCTGTTTAATTTTGAGCCACACCCATCTAGGACGCAGACTCCAAACTGTCCGGCCCCCATGGACCCTGCCATTTGCCCTGGGCACGCGCGCTCGAGTCGCAATCAAATCTGGTACCAAAATGGGATGGTGCACCTAAATGGGTACCCTAAAACCTTACTCCTTAAAATGAATCCCCACTAAAATGGCCACAATCAAAACCCGGACGATCCCCACAACCATGCTTCAAGAATGAAGGCGGAGATCCGCAGCTATTTCTGCTTGGGATCTTCCCTCACTAACCGGATCATCAATCCCCGAATCGGTTTTGAGCATGTGGCTCACGTGGCTCGACACATGGCATGCCTGCGGCCAGGGGTTCTCCAAAGCCACCAGCGCATGACCTTGGCGGCCGATTTCCTCCACCAAGAGTTGGGTATGGGTCAAAATTGAACCAAGAAAATCGCAGGTTCTAGTGAACCACCAGGAATTGGACGGCAGGTTTTTGTCTTAGCCCATGTTTCCATTTACCGATCGGGCAACCCATTTTCGGGTTGCCCTATTTTTGACCACCACCGCCAGTTCAGCATCGGGCCATTCACGGTGTCCAGACTGACAATGGGATAAGCACAGCCACTCAGAAGGCCAGTTGTGAGCACCTCGAAAGAGCTTTCACCTCCCTCATGCATCAAAGCAAATGCGCCTGCGCGCCCGCAGCGCATCTTTTAAGATGAACGGTCAACCGATTGTCGCAGTCGTTCCTATGTACATGAAAACACCTTTGGCGTTTTTTCTTCGTGCTTCAGAGATTTTCTCTGAGGACACTGTCAAACTGTCAATCCACAAGCCAAAGAAAGAAGATCCAAAGCCACTTTGAAGAATCCAGACCGCGAAGCAAGGTCGGCGAGAGCAGCTTGACGCATCACGCAACATCGCAAGTGACCTGACAGCAAGCAAATACGAAACTACACATACATACGAGCTACGGCTGTTGCTTGCTACGTGGTTGAACGGCCGTGTGTTTCCGCCTTGTTCTCCAACCCTGAAAAATGGTTTGTCAAAAGAACTTTGATGCCGCCCAATAGCGTTCGAAAGTAGAGTTTGCAAACTGCGACGTCTACGGTTTGTAAGTGCATTTGCTTTAGCGAAAATTGTGTTCTGAAATCAATGCCGCTCCGGCATCACAAGTGTTATCCTGCTTCCAAAAAGTGGACGTCGCGGCTTCCAAACTTGGGTTTTGGAAAGTCACTCGGCGGCATCAAAGTTCTTTGCAAAACGGATTGCGAAATTGCGCTTTTCAAGCCAGCATGGCTTGGTCTGCTTTTGGGAGAGCGTCTTTTTCTTGGGCAGGTGTCATTGAATTTCGGGTTTACTTGCTGCTAGCGTACTGAAAAATATAGAACCTACACACGAGTCTGCTTCCCGTAGCTTCCCTCACATGGTCGTACCTTGAATCACCCAAGTTTTCAGTGCTGGAGACATCTGGGAAAAAGGCTTCATTCTGACTTTGAGTTGCCTCACCTTTCGCAACGTTGAGGTGAACCCCTCTTGACCACAGCACGGGAAACACCCCGGAAAAGCGGCGCGCAGCACAGTGCATCGTCTTGCTACACATGATGTACATTTCTGCTATTTACATTCCAAACTCCTGTCTCCGCTCATTCAGAATGCCCGTTCTGCTTTAGGTTGGAACTTGGACATCTTGCACTCGTGCTGGCCGTGCCATTTGTCTGCCAAGGCTTTTACTTTCACTCCACTAAGCGGAGGTTGAACCTATTCAACTTCCGCGAGAGTAGCGGTGACGTTGAGGAAACTATTGTAGTAGTAGTAGTAGTAGTAGTAGTAGTAGTAGTAGTAGTAGTAGTAGTACTGGTAGTAATAATAGGTAGTAGTAGTAGTAGTAGTAGTAGTAGTAGTAGTAGTAGCAGTAGTAGTAGTAGTAGTAGCAGTAGCAGTAGCAGTAGCAGTAGCAGTAGGTAGTGGTAGTGGTAGTAGTAGTAGTAGTAGTCGTAGTAGTAGTAGTAGTAATAGTAGTAGTAGTAGTAGTAGTAGTAGTCGTAGTAGTAGTAGTACTAGTAGTAGTAGTACTAGTAGTAGTAGTAGTAGTAGTAGTACTAATATAGTAGTAATAGTAGTAGTAATAGTAATTGTTGTTAGTAGCAGTAGTAGTAGTAGTAGTAGAAAAAGTACTAGTACTAGCAGTACTAGTAGTTGTACCACTAGTAGTAGTAGTAGTAGTAGTAGTAGTAGTAGTAGTAGTAGTAGTAGTAGTAGTAGCAGTAGCGTGCGTCACATGACCTGATAGTTTTTACGCATCCGGCCCCAGCCTGCCCATTCTCTTGCTTTGCCTATCGTCTGCAGCCGACTCAGAGTTTCAGCTTTCCTTTTTAGGGGGAACATTGGCCGTCTTTTCAACCCAGTAGATCCACCTTTGGCGACATCGACCACGTTAGTCTACGAACCAGAGCGACATCGATTTTTAAAATGCAGAAACTCGTTTCATGTCGGGCTCGAAAAGTGCAATTTCGCTGAGTCGTCTTGTAAACAATTTTGCCGCTGCCGAGTGACTTTCAAAAAGTGGGGAAACGGCTACAACAACTTCTTGCAGGCGGAATGTCCTTCATCAAAACACAGGGAGTGTGTCGACCGCTTGAGTCACGGAGCCTTCTCTCATTCCCTTTCCCTTATCATTCCCTTCAATCACCGGCGTCGACCACTTCGTTCTACAGACCAGAGCGTCTACTTTGAGTTGTTAAAACACCGGTGATGTCGGACCAGAGCGTCTACTTTGAGTTGTTAAAACACCGGTGATGTCGGACCAGAGCGACTTCTGCCTTCAGTGGGCGGAAGGTCGCTTTCTTTGCTGAAGCACTGGCCATGCTGGGGGTGCTGACCGCTTCAGTCAAAGGCCGTCAAAAGCAGAACTAGTCACGTGGGACTGAGCCAAATCGTATGTCTGCCAATTTATGTTCTAGGAAAAAGGCAGCATCCACGTTGAAGGCGGAAGCGCTTGATTCTCACATGACAAAGCCAAATCCCTTTTGAGCACATCACGTTGAAAACCATCAACAACATTGAGCAGACTTTAAGCATATGTTTCACTTTATTGCACGGTCCGTCGGAGAGCTATGTATTCATGTACACAAATATACGGGTTCGACTTCGCAACGAAAAGGCGAACCACGTGGAACAAACCAGGAGACAGTAGTGACGACGTGACGTTGAGCAAACCACCACAGTAACATGATACTGTGGAAGGACGCAATCCTCCATCACCTAAGAAACCCTGGAATGATGATTCCCCTGTAAATACCAACAAACAATGGGTGTCAACCATGGTTTCAAAGTGGTGCGAAACTGATTTCGTCCATCCACAGTAGCAACACAGTGCTAAAAGGAGCAAGCAGCCTCAACTTCGTCCACCTCCTCCATCCGCATTCCCGGCTCTGGCTGAGTGGGTGCCTTGCAACAGCTCGGCCAAAGAAATGCTTGAAAAGGGGCGATGCACGCGATGCTCCTTGCACCTACCCTCCCTCCCACTAACCTGGCACCTGTGGAAGGGTAATCGGACGTTGAATTTCTCTTGGAGGGACACCCTGTCAGCTGACATGTTAGTGGAAGGGAGGGTAAATGAACGAGAAATCGCCCGTGGCTACCAAATGCGTGCCTTGTCTGAATGAGTCTTCACCAGATTCTCCAGGCCATCCTGACATGGGTTTCGGCTGAAAGAGTTGCCGGAGGGAGCCAACATCAACAACCTGTCGACAAGCCCCTGTGGCATTCACAAGGCCCGCACCAGGTCAGAGGACACGCCAACTCGTTGTACCAGATTCAGGAAGACCTGAATCCATTGATGAACATTACACTCGCTGCAAGTCATCGGGGTGACTTAAAGGGTGAAGTCGTCGAAAGACTCGAAGGCCACTTTGAAGGGAACAAGTTGGCAACGCATTGCCAGAACTCGCACTCGCCTCTTGTGTCATATCAGCGGAGGTGTCTTCTGCCACGGCCATGAAGAGTGACGCGCAGTCCGCCTGGCTCGACAGGCGGGTTTGGGAGGAATTGCTCCAATTCGCGCTCGGCCTCTGGGACCGCGGGCGCAATGTGCGCCATGAAGTTTACAAACTCGTCATACCTCCGATGCCAGGCCCCGATGCCAAAACGAAGGAAGATGAAATGACACACGCACGCACAAACACAGGTACGCAAGAACAAACACAAACAGAACACAAGTCACAAAAACAACGACAAAAAACAAGGACAGTGCGCGCGCACACACGCACACACGCGTAGGCAGTACCATGCCAAGCCCGGAGCTGGAGCGAACCATCCCGGGACTCGTCAAAGATGTCGAAGAACTTGCCTCAGCTAAGGGAGGTGCACCTATCTCAAGTACAGCATCTGGAATTCAGAGTGAAAGGTCGGACATGCCATCGTTAGTGTGAAGGTGGATGATCAAGAGCATGGTCAACTGTTGCATGTTCCCAAGTTCTTTCCTGCCGTTCGGCCTTCTGAGGGTTTTTGTATTGCGCCCTGGGATTACACCCTAAATGACCCAGAATGGTTCAAAATAACACGGTCTTCTCCGGAAAAATGTGCAATCCAAACGGGGTCCATACCGAGTGGGTGTATTCCCAGGGTGTACAAAAAACCCTAGAAACATTCGATCACTCTCTTGCATTCGTTGAAGGCATGGGCCCAGTCAAGTTGGCTGTGGGGGTCAAAAAAGTAGGTACCCAAAATGGGTTGCCCGATCGGTAAATGGAACCAAAGCCTAAAACCTTCTGTCCCATTGGCGAGAAATGTTGACCCACACTCATTTCTCGAAACTTCTTTTGACCCAAACCAATCAGATCCCATTTTGGTTGGTAGGTGAACTCACCACCCATTTTAGTGCCTATTGGGCTGTGGCTCAAAAAACCGGTACCAAAATGGAACCCTGGCAAGTGGAAACATGGACCAAAACCTGCGGTTTGCCCCTCCTGTTTAATTTTGAGCCACAGCCATTTGGCTGTGGGTCAAAAATAGGCACCCAAAATGGGTCACCCTCAGCTCGCAGGCCGCTCGTTTTTTTTCTCCGAGCCCCAGGCCCATGAGCTGCACCTCGTAGGCGCGCTCCAGGGCCATGGCCCAGAGGGTGGACCAGAGCGCGTGGCTCTCCAGGAGGCACATGCTGGCGGCCCCACCTTGGGTCAAAACCCAAGAAAAATTCCGTAGCCCCATAGCTCCAGGGGGTTGATTTTGTTTTCCATTCCGTTTTCTAGGCCTGAAATGGACCGCTGGGCTTAGTCGTCTTTGCTTCCATTTACCGATCGGGCAACCCAAAAATTTTGAAGTTGCCCTGTTTGTTGACAACCACAGCCATTTGGCCATGGGTCAAAACCCAAGAAAAATTCCGTAGCCCCATAGCTCCAGGGGAAGTTGTTGTTTTTTTTCATTCCGTTTTCTAGGCCTGGGATTCCGGAGGTTTTCTAAAAAGAATCCCTGGAAAGAATGGAAATGGAAGGTACCCCTAGAATGGGTCAAAAGCCAACATTCCGTACCCCCGGTGAACATCCTAATCCAAGCACTAAAATACCAATCCCAATCCCAATCCCCCAGTGAACATCCCATAATCCCCTAAAATCATCCCAATCCAACCACTATAATAGGTTCTAACATGGGTGGTGCACCTACCAGCCAAAATGGTCTCCCATTGGTGTTGACCCGCGGCCTGGTCTCTCAACGCACCTCTCAGCAAGACAATACTGTGAACAGTACGTGAAAGGCCACGTATGCTACAACTCGGCTGCACTGTGAGGCATTCTCGTTAAACTAGGAGAATTGCCTGCCTCTTTGAGAGGACTAGCAATCGTGGAAGAGCAGAGTCATAATGCCACTGCACCTCTGCCAAAAGCAAGAGCCGGCTGAGGCAGCCGCCACACTGCTGCCACAGACGCATCAAGTTGTTCACTGCATCTTTTGAGACCTCCCATGCCCATGGCCCCAGGCCGCAAAGTCAACCCAAGTCAAGTGATCAAGAATATCGGCGAAGCGCAATCTGTGAAAGGATCAACAACCAAAAAAGATAGGCTTCAAAACTGAGGCAGCACTCAGGTGCCTGCTTGTTCTGCCCTGCCTTGCCCTCGCTGATCTTGTGGTCATCCTTGTGCGCTGAGCGATGCAACTACTGCCATGAAGCCGAACGTGCTCTTTTCTGCTATGCTCAGTGGCCATTGCCAAGATCACTTCCCTCCAAGCCAGGGCAAAGGAGGCAAAGGAGCAAGGGAGTTCAGGAACCAACGGCAGCAACGGAAGCAAGGCAGCCAAGAAAGCAAGCAGCCAGGGGAAGCAGCGCGGCAAAGCTCGATATCACTCAACGCATGTTTGTCTGTTGCGACTCCAACTCCACTAAGCAGTCCTTCTCATTTTCAAAGTTCACTCTTAAAGGAAACGGTAAGACCATTTCGCAGGTCTTGTCCAGCCCATCCCTTCAGACAAGGCAGAAAAGATCCCTCGAGTGAACCCGCAATCTGCAAAAAAGGAAAGGGACATGCATTGTGGACATTCTGACACTGAAGCTGTCACACGCTGAATTACATAGATTTTACCGGCTGGAAATGCTTGGCATGACCAGTCAGTTGCGGGTCTCAAGCAACATCCATGCAGCCAAGTACTGCTTTTCGCGGCTCTACCGACGTGCATAGTACTGCAACACATCCTTGTAGAACTGGATGGCTTCATCTGAGGACTTGGACCAGGTGAAATTGGCCTTGGCATTCTGGCGGGCCTCGGCCTTCATCTTGTCCAGCTTCGGGATCACCTCCTGGATGGCGCGCTTGGCGTCCTGCATGTCCAGCGGCTCGTACAGCTTCCCGTTGACCCCGTCGGTCACCACTAACGGCACCGCCACGGCCCGGGGCCCTACCACGGCGATGCCGGCCGCCTGGGACCATGGGTGGCCTTTTGGAAAAATCGATGGGCTTCCCTGGGAAATGGACGAAACCCCGTCACTCCATCTAAACCAGGTTTAAAGCCCTCTATCTTTGGGGAACCCCTCCATTTTTCAAGCAAACCAAAACGGCCCCCCATGCACCTGGGACTCGATGAAGACCAGGTCCAACGTGCCGGTGACCGTGGGGGAGAAGAAGATGTCGCTGGAGGCGATGGTCGAGGCCAGCTGCTCGCCCGTCACCGCGCCCGGCATGTAGACGTCCGAGCGGCTGCCGATGGCCGCGTGGATGGACTCCCAGGAGTCGCCGTTGCCTTTTCGCCCGAGACACGGTGGATTTCCAGGGGAAGAATCAATCGGCACCACGGACCCTTTCCAAAAAATTGGGAAAAAACCCGGCAGCCGCCTTTTGTTGGCTGAGCTTAAAGGAATCCGAACCCCTACCCCTAAAAAAAAGGAGAAAAAAGGAAGCAACCCACTGGGCAACAAAGCTGCCGATGATGGCGAAACGGCACAGCTCCGGCTCCCCCGGCGGGTTGGTGACCTCTACAAGGTCCACCAGCTTGTCCACTTGCTTCTCCGGGGAGAGGCGGCCCACAAAGACCACCAGGGGAGTGTCCGGCTTGCCGTTGCTGCAGAGTTGCCTCATCTCCGGGCTGGCCTTGGACGGGTGGAAGAGGCCCAAGTCGCATCCAGTGGCCCAAAAGCGGATGTTGGGGTGGTCCTGAAACCAGGACTGGTCCTTCTGGGAGCCGTCGATGAGGAGATGGCCGGTCACTAGGGGGAACATCACCTCGCACGCTGCTCGGATCACTTGGGGGGCATAGTCCCCAATGAAGCCCGGCACGTAGGTGGCGTAGAGGTCGATCCTGGAGTGGTGGGAGATCACGGTGGGGATGCCGAGCCACCACAAAAAGGGCACCATGAAGAAGGCGTTGGGCGTGAAGTCGAAGGACTGCACGATCTGCGGCCTGAAGCGCATCAGCGCCACCAGGAAATGAGGCGATGGCAAGGTGATCTTGTGCTTCGGCGCCACCTCTACACCTGGCCCCCGGGTGACGGTGGCGCCATAGTTCTCTGGCGCCTGGTGCGTGGATGGGCTGCCGTTGCTGCAGAAGACGTGCACCTTGTGGCCATCGCGGATCAAGGCCTGCATCGTGTTGCGCGCAAAGTTCTGCACGCCGTCCAGCTTCGGTGGAAAGGAGTCGCCCGTGAGCAGGACGCGCATAGGCTCTCCCGGCTTTGGGCAACCCCCCCAGCACAGCTGGAGTAGTACCAGCCTGCATGCCTTCACCAAGATCACAGAGCCGGCTGCAAAGAGCAGAGCACGAGGCCAGGCATACTGCAGCACACAAGACAGCGTGAGAACGGGCGTAATCGTGTACTTCCACAGATCAAGCGCCTTGTGAGGCCTGTGGACCTGTTTCTTCTGTGCTGCTGTGACGGCTGCCAGACATATGGTTGCCACCACAGCACTCAAGACCAGGTCCGGAAAGGGAACGCCGAGGTGAGCGTTCAGGCAGTAGACGATCAGCATGCAGGAGCCGAAGATGGAGCCCAGCACCGCCAGCACCACCAGGGGCGGCGCATAGAGCATGCTGTTCTTCATGAAGCACAGCGCTGCCAGGCCCAGCAAGATCAAAGGGTAGCCCAGGGCCGCGCTTATGCCGAAGGCGCTCAAGATCCCAAAGCACTTCACGGAGGTCCAGGTGTCGTAGGGCCGTGTGCCCGTCAGCATCTGCTGCCGCAGCCGGCCCTCCATGAGCTTCAGCTCTGCCTGCCACATCTCTTTAGACGCGAGGGCGACCTGAACCTGAAATGTCTGCCCGGATGGCTCTCATATGCTTGCGATGAAAGCCAGGGGTTCGTATGCTCCTTGCCATGCGATCTGAGAATCTCGCACCAAAGGAAGACAGGGTTTCATATTCTCCCATGCAATGATCTCGCACCAGTCAGTTACACATCCGACATCAATGAATCAACCGCCACAGCCGAAGGAAAGTTCATGGCTCGCGCTAGGAGTCTGAGACGTTGGCCGGATTCATCGCCAGAAGAGTCTCCGCCACCAGAATCTCCGGGACCTGGAGACGTGCACAGGCGCACCGCGCGGTTGGCAGAAGCTCCGTGCATTAACAAGGCACCCCCTTTGGACGGGCACCAAAATGGGTATGGGTCAAAAACTTAAACCACCAGGATATGGACCGCTGGTTTTAGTCCATTCAATTTACCAGGGCAACCCGGTAACGTCATTTTTGACAACCACGGCCAAATCGACCTTTGGCAACAGAGCCGATCCAAGAAACTTGGCCTGAAGGCGAAAGCGCTCCACGGTCACCTCCATCAGCCAAAAGCCAAACGCCCAGCAAAACAGCCTTTTTTTGGGCAAACATCTTTGTTCTTGAGACTTGGATGTTGCGGGAATCTGCACCACTGCACAAAAACAGTCTCCGGCCTGCGCTGCCACTTCCGCCGCCGCTTCCTCAATTTGACCTTCTCGGAGTCACTTGAGGCACTCGCGCGCTTCCGAGCTCACCGAAAACCCGGGGCCTAGTTCTTGGAGCGATTGGAGCACTGAGAGCCGAGATGCCTCTCAACCCAAAGACGGTCGCCTCGAGAGGCGCCAGGAGAACCTCCCCCGCCTCCCGGTTCTTCTTGCGCACCGTCTTCATGATCGCCTCCCACAGGCTGTCCACAAAGTAGGCGGTTTCCTGCACGGAAACCGAAAATGAGTATGAATACAAAAAACAAATATTGAATACACAACAACGGTACGAAAACGATACGAATACTAGGTCACACATGCAGCTGGAGATACAAACCATTTTTGAACAGTTCCTACATTTCTACTTTATTGCTCCGCATGCGCTGTGCAGCAAAGCCATGTTGAGACGTGCTGTGCAGCAAGGTTGTGTTGAGATGCGCTGTGCAAGGAGGGCTTTCTGCAGGCTTCTGCGCGCAAAACGCTTACGGTGAACATTTGCCGAAAAAAGAGAGATCACCCGCAACAATCGTTGGCAGATTAGATCGAAACATATTGAGTTTGCTGGGAGATTTCTGGGCGATACTGCCCATGAATGAAGATTGCTTGCCGGGCTTCTATGCTATGTTTATGGCCAGCGCAGTCACTCGCTGGCGCTAGGACTTCCGCGCGGGCCCCGAATATCAGGCGCACCATGCCCTCGAAACTCCACAAATTGGCCGCCCTCAAACTTAAGTGGCACTAAGACTGGCATGTCAGAACTGCAACAGACTGCAGACTGCAAAATGCCGCTCCTCCCACATATCTGGATGGCGTCGCATTCGGTCAGCAGCTATGAGGTGAGAAACAAGCAACGCCTGCGACGCGCAACGCCAAGAGCGCCCCGTGCGACGTCGGTCCCTGAGTGCCTTGGCAGGCATCTGCGCCTCCTCCACCTCCCCCACTCCTGCGGGTGAAGGCATGAAACCAACGAGCCCTCAAAAGCACCGCTGCATGGCTTAAATCAAAGGCTGTGATGGTACAAACGCGGTCAGGCCGCCAGAGTCAGCAATTCACCACTTCCGTCCTCCTGAGGATGAGCTCATGCTCGACGAAATGGAGCCCTCCGATTTCCTGCACGAAATCGGATGCTGCAAATCCGCGCGACTGCCAAGTCAATTGGCTGTGGTTGTCAAGAATATTTGGGTTGCGATGGTAAATGGAACCACGGACTAAAACCTGCAGCCTGCGGTCCATATCCTGATGGTTTAATTTTGACCCATACCCAACTCAAGCAAAAGCTGCGCACAGCTGCTCCCGGAACCAGGTCGCTGTTGAGACACCGTAGAGATCACCTGCAAACGAAAACAAATGGCCAGATCTCTAGATTTGGCTACTTTTACATCGCCCCATATGAAGAATCGATCAGCGGATTCGCAAAGAACACCCGGTGCAGTGAACAGAAAAAGCTGGCCTCAGCCTCCGTTGCATCCTGCACGAGACTAGTGCGGATTCCGCAGGCCCAGTACTATACATCCGAAGGCGAAAGCTCCTCTACATTTTGCAGCAACTTGGGGCGCCTTAGCCGGCAGAACGCAAGGCACATAGACATGGCATGGTGGCCTCATGGTGCTGTATATATAGATATATACATACATATGCTACTGCCCCGCCCACCAACAAGAAGCCGCCATTTTGCTTGATTTGAGCGCGCAGGCTTGGTTTGAATGGCTGCAGCGTTCAAACTATTTTTGCAGCAGATCTAAGCAGAGATATGCTATTTTTGCGGCAGATCTATGCAGAGATACGCAGGCTTGCACTCCATCGTGTGCATTTCATCTAGTTTTGTTTGAGGTAGGACATATCATGCCCGCACAGCAAGTTAGCTGCAGATTTGCTGTCTTTCAATGCAATTTCTTTGCCCAAGCTTCTCTGGAAGCAAGTTCTCTGAGCAAGTTTCTCCGAGCAAACTTCTCTGGGAAAAAAAAAAAAAAAAACATTTTTGGGCTGGGTACCTCTTGCACACAAGAAAAAAATGCATATTTCTGGATTCAAGATTCACAATCGCCCAGGAAGGCTTTCTCCAAAATATTGACTCCAGGAAAGGAAAGAAGGCCATAGATTCAGTTTGAGAAAACAGTATAATGTATCAAGCCATTTACTCTGGCTTTGGACAGAAAGCAATTCCACTACAAAAATAACATAAAACAAGCATTCCAAGCAAGATGCAGACATGCCAGACCTCGGGAAAATTACAGAAACTGGACCAACAAAGGAAACTTGGGTGTTCCTGGGACAAGAAGGAAATGCACTTTTCCAAGATTCAAGACCAAGCTCTGTCCAGAATCCGGACTCCAGAAAACGAATAATATTCAACATTGAAGCTTGCTCATGCAAATGGTTGTGAAACTTGTTTCAACTTGCCCCCTGAAATTATGACTGCTGAATCTACTGTAAACTTCTGAATACAGAATTTAGTGCAAAATGCAGGATTTCTGCGGGAAGTTTGGGGGAAATTGTCTAAATACCAGTATTCAAACCGTGGATCCCAGATCCAAGATTGCTGGGGGACGTTTGGGGACATCTTGGACACTGAAATCTAAATACCGGTGTGTAGATTTCTTAATATTGGCTTGTAGATTTCTTAAGACCAGTATTTAGATATTGGACCCAAGATCCAAGACAACAATCATGGATCTTGGATCTTGGATCCAGAATCTAAATACCAGCATTATTAAGAAATGTAGATACTGGTATTCAGAGCTCAGGGGGGCATTCATGAATCTAAGATGTCCCTCAAAAGTCCCTCAACAATCTTGGATCTTGGATCTGGAATCTATACAGCGGTATTAAGAAATCTAAATACCGAATTGTGTCGCACCCCTTCCTTGGTTGCCAATTTTTGGCCAAGCCCATGCCTGGCAAAAAAAAACTTACAAAAGCAAATAACGAAAGGAGTGGCCAAAAAAATCGCGAGAATAGGGGCACCGTGCTAAATTAGTAGGGGGCTGAGGGTTCCTATACATATATATATATACACATATTTGTGCCGGCAGCAGAAAACCTCTCAGTCACTAAGACCTCGACCGCGCATATCCCAACACCAAGAGGTTGAAGCAGCGAGCAGTCAACTGCCGAGAGAAGTTGATGGGTGCAACATGGCTGTGTAGGTCACAAATGGCTGTGGCTCAAAAAACAAAAAGGTACCAAATTGGAACCCTGGTAAGTGGAAACATGGACCAAAACCCTGCGCAACCCCCCTGTTTAATTTTGAGCCACAGCCAAATAGGGTAACCCCAAAATGGCTTGCCCTGGTGAATGGGTTGCCAAGAACTCAAACCTGCGGTCCGATTCCTGGTGGTTTAATTTTGACCCATACTCACATCATGGCACAGAGCTGTCCAAGCAGTTTTCGAGGCGCCCAAGATCTGAGGACACGTGAAGCAACATCTGAGCACCACCTTGCTGCGGCTGCAAATGGTGGCATGGCCAGCTGCGAGAATGAGCCTGAGAGCAACAGCTCATGTTCTGAGAGAGTATTTGCAATCGACACAAGTGGCTGTGGCTCAAGAAACATGTACCAAAATGGCATCCTTGGCAAGTGGAAGCAAAGACTGAAACCAGTGTAACCCTAGCTCTTTAATTTTGAGCCACACCCAAGTCAGCGCCCGTAGGTGTTCGCCCCAGGTGTTTCCAGCGACGTCGCGGTGAGCTTGAAAGGTGGCCAAAGGCTGGCCAAAACCAAGGCAGCTGCGGCACGGGCAGCAGGGCATCCTCTTTCTCAAGTTCTGGGCCTGGCAAAGCAAAGCGCAAACCTTCGTCACTCGTTAATTACTGGGCTGTCCGTGAAAACGGGTCCCTCGTAAAGTGAATAACTTTTAGTGGGTTACATGGAATCCAACCACGAAACACTAAAAAGGCTAGAGAGCTAAGGAACCGGATGGCGGGGAACCACCAAGATTACCATCCCCCATTCCAAATGCCAGCAACAGCATAGCATGTTCAAGGTTCCAAAAAAAAATGTTGCCTGTGTTTGACGTTTCTGCCAACGGTACAAGTCGGGAGTTGGTAGCTCCAACATTCACGTGTGTTTATCTTCTCATCGAAACTCTGAGATGCAAGCTTCCCGTTGCCGTTCATCTTCCCTTCAACTTCTGAATGCTAACCAGCAACGGTACATTTCGAAGCTTCTCCTCGAGTTGGGAGCTCATCTTTTCAAACATGATCATGTTGAAGCTTCTGATGCTTCCCAGTACCAAGTACTAACCAGTTCTGTGGAGGGACCTGTTCGGACAGCACGAGAAAACCTCTTCTCCGAGAGAGCCGAAAGCTGTAGGGATTCTATCGTCAAGTGCAGAAGATGGTAGGTGTGGCACAATACTTCGAATGTTGCAGGGTGCGGCTGCCAGTCGCGTGACGCAGGGCGAAGGGACTTGCAAGCTGCTGTGGACCTGTGGCGCGTTTTCGGACCCTTTCGGATAGTAGGAAGCAAAGAAACACCGAAAATCAACGGGAAGTCACCCTATGCTCACACCCTCTTGGATATTGATGTTCAGCTAACAGTGGATTAGGGTTTAAACAGTGATGTTCAGCTAAAAAAGGACATGTGCATTAATCATTGGATGAAAGCGGGTTGATAACCACCCCCTCTTGGATGTTCAGCCTATTTACTGAGAAGGTGTGCAAAGGAAGTTTAGAAGGAACTTCCGTGTGACAGACACTAATTGAAAGGTAGTCTGCGCGCAAACTAGAAAGAATAAATGGCAGGGGCGGCACTTTCGCAAGGTCAGCGTTCATAAGCAAAATCCCTTGTGAATTGCTAGGGAGAATTAGTAGTATGTGCATTTTAAAAAGGTAACCTAGCGCCTTTTGACCATATTGAAAGCTTCTGACTCCACCTCGCGTGTGACAACGGAAACCTGCACGCTAACCGCTTGTGTGCACGCTATAGAAGACTGGCCGCGATGTGAACGTTCTTCTCTTGGCATTTTGCAAGAAGCAGTCCTTGCCTCTTCGCTCTGTCTCGCTCCCACCCATCTGGATCTTCTCAAAGCTTCCGTCATGAGATCCAACGAATTGCCTGACTCCACCGCGGGTAGATGGCAGAAGGCAAGACTGCTGAGGATTCCTAGCCTTGATCTCCTGATGTTCTTCAAGGCAAGCATGAACTCATTCATCGTTTGAGCAGCCTGTCAAGCCGAAGGGGCGAGCTTCGCAAGATGAATGCAACTCTTTTGTCTGGGCAGCGTCGAAGGGTAGGTTTCCCAGGTATTCCACATGCAGACCTTACAAGGGCAGCCAGAGAGCCGCTCTACTCAGGCTGGCTCAGCAAGAATGCGGCAAAATGACATCGTGACTGGGCTGAAAGCTAGGTCCATACGGCGAAATGTCGTTGACCACCTTGCGGCATTGCTTTCAAGGCATGTTTCCCATGGGCATTGCTCAGCCAAGTGCCTTTGGAAGGCGATCGTTCAGCTCCCCAACTGGTATGATATCACCTCGTGCTTCAATGTCATGCGCACAGAGACAACTCAGTGACACTTTCCTTCTGCCTTCTGAGCCGCTAAATGATGGCTCCCCGAGAAAGAAAATGCGCAGTCACAATCAAAGGCGGGTTAGCAAGAACTTCAGGAGTACTGCCACTACTTCAGCTTGGCTGTTTGTGAAGCAAACATGCATCGTATGCGGCAAGGACACTGAAAAAGATGAGGAAAAGCAATTTCAGGGGTGGAATACAAAGGAACAAGGAAAAGTACCCCTGTGCGGGCTTTCGGCTTTTCAGAAGGGGTGCAAAGCACCTAGATCGTGAAACCTGGCAGAAGCAGTCTCAGAGCAAGCTCGCACTCGGCCCAAGCCATGTTCGGACACCGGGCAGTGTCAATTCGTGAGCACTCTCGTGAGTACTCTGCGGACGTTCGTTGGGTTGACCGTATCCGTAAAAAACTGGGTGGTTCGCATTTTCGCTTCGCATGTGTTTGACTAACTCACTTAGTTGTCAAGCATCGAGTTGTGTATTCAACAAAATGGCAATAGTTACCAATTGAAGCCAGTGCTGATCGAGTGAGTCCGTAGACATTTAAGCAAGCTGCTAATGAACGAAATAGACAGCTACTAGTTGCTCAATAGCTAACTAGCTGGCTGACAAGCTGGCTAACAAATTCCGTAGCTCTTCAACTAACTAGCTAATTAAAAAGCACATCTCCGCAAACTCTGTAACATCCTGTAGACTCCTAATGTGTAAGCCAACCACTTAGTCAACTGATGCCACAAAAACCAATGGGATCCCATTTTGGGGTAGGTGAATTCACCACCTATTTTAGAACCCATTTTAGTGGGGATTGGGATGTTCACTGGGGGTACGGGATTTTGACTCATGGCCAACCAGCTAGCTGACTGGCTGACTAGCTTGCCAACTGGCTCACTCGCCTGTCTAACTAGATAAGTAGCCGTCTAGCTGGCGACGTAGCAAGGTAGCCAATGGGCTAACAAGTCTAGCTGAGTGATAAATTGCTGATGAACTCAGCTCACTCATGAGCTGCTGAATCAGCTGGACAGCTTCACTTGCATTGATGCTGATGCTGAATCATTTGTCATGGCGCTGCCTCCCGACATGGTGCGCCATACACCCTTGGCAGCCCGGCTCATCACAGCGAAGAGTAGCACCTGTGCAAGTCTGAAATGGTCTGAAGACCCAACGCAAAATGCATCTCGAGTCGATCAAAAACAACCTGGCCTTGTAGCTGCTTGCAAACTGCAACACCTCAGGGGAAGTCATGATTGCCTTTGATGAGACAAGCCTGTAAATGTTGACACGTAGTTTATCTCGTTCAAAGCTTGGCAGTAAGTAGCTGCCCGCACGCCGTGATCCTACAGGCAAGCGGCTGCTCGGCACAGGTTGAAGATCGCATTCTCCACCTGCGTGCACTGTGTATGCGTACGAGTGCGTTTGTGTGCGTATGGGTGTGTACGTATGTATACGTGTGTAAACATTATGGTTGTGCTCAAGAGATAAACAGACGCAGATTCTTTGTGATATCCCATCAATTGATTACAACCCTAGAGAGACGGCGCACCCTTAACAATCATTGGCCACGTGAGCGAACATGGCCTTCAAACTCTTGGCCCTCTTGGTGCGGGAGGCAAAGCTGTGACGGTCGCAAGTTGCTGCGCGACTTGCAGCGGCTACTTACAGCGGTCATGACGGAACGCTGCACATCACATATGAGCGCAAGGCGCGCCTTGTACAGCGCATGTTTGAGCCATGCGCAGTGGCGTGGTATGTAACGCAATGATGTCCCATGCGGCTCAGATTTTCACACCGTCATGTTCTTGTAGGCTGAGTCGCCATTGCGGTGTCCTGGTCTAATCTTCTGTGTTGGGATCTGCCAGACACCCTCACGCGCTCTGTGTGCGTGTGTTTGCGCGTCTGTGTATGTCACAAGCTCTCACGTTGGTCTGTCGAAAGGATGCTGCCAGCCTTTCTGGCATTTGTTCTGCGACAACTAAAGTCATGTGGCTGTGGGTCAAACCCCTGTTCCCCTGGCGAACATCAAAATAGGTGGCAAAAGGATGTTCATCCACCCCCAGAAGGTTATGGCCATGTAGGCCTGCTTGTGCCGGCCGCAAGACTTCAAGTAGAAGTTCTTCAGAGCTTCCTGCAAGGCCTGCGAATGCCAAGCAGGAAAAGAGCACGGCCTGAGTCGATAGGTCCCCCGCCTGCGGAGCCATTGGTCGCAGAAGCAGCGTTCCTGCCGCCTGTCACAAGAGTCACTTGCTCAGCACCCGGTATTAAAATGGTCGTAATCCCAGAACCATGCTTCAAGACTTCAGAAGGCGGGATGTCCGCAACGATTCCTGGCTGGGACTGCCCCTGTCAAACCTTCATTTGGTGGGTCAAAAAATAGGCACTCTAATGGAACCCCTGGTAAATGGAACCAAGGCTCAATTCCTGTGGTCCCCCGGGTGGTTTCAGTTTGACCCACAGAACAAAAATCCGACCAGGTCTCGAGCCCGTGGCTCGGAGACGTGTTTTTAACCGATCGAGCGCGCGAAGCAAGACGCGGCGGCGGGGCCAGCTTCGCGGCCTTGGGCGGGATGGCCTGCCAGACCAAGGCCAGCTCGCCTGACCAAAACGATCCGCCGCCGCGGCGACCAACCGATTAATGGCGTCTGGCCGATGTCTGAGGTTTTTGTTTTTTTGCACTCTACCCTGCGAGTACACCCTTGGGACATGACCCGGAATGATGCGCAAAATCCGGACATGTGCCGAAATGGGGACCATACCCTGTGCAGGGTGTAATACAAGAACGGTGCACCTACCCCAAAATGGGATACCATCGATTTTGACCACCACAGCCATTTGAGGCAACGCAACGCTGGGGTTCCGGCCATGAAGCCTGGCCAAGCTGTTGATCTGCACCACCTTCGCGCTGGAATTCCTCAGCTCCGAGGTAGGATGCGGAGCCCATGCGACGGGTCAAAATTCAACCAGGAATCGGACCGCAGGTTGTAGTCATTGTTTCAATTTAGGCTTCCATTTTGGGTAATGTTGACCCAGGATTAATAAACCCGTCCCATTATTCGGGGGGAGTTCCCTCCAAAAGTGATGAATCCCCACTAAAAGGGGACACCCCCTATTCATCAGCCAGGGGTTTGTTAATCCGGGGTTAACATTACCCGTCTTTGACCCACACCCATGTATCCAAGGGCCAGGCGCTCTCTGAATCGCCTTTCCTTTCATCGCAGAAGATCCTGAACCACTCAAGGCGCCAGGAATTGTACAAAAAGAATCTTATGTTGTTACAATTACTTTAACATTGACTCAAGGCACGAGGTACAAGCATTCCGACATTGCCACAAACTTACTTACCATTGGGCATATGGCTGTGGGATACGCAGGTTTTGGTCCATGTTTCCACTTACCAGGGCAACTCATCTTAGTACCGGCTTCTTGAGCCATACCCACATGAGCTCGCGAAGTCCGTCCTCGCCGTGCTGTCATGCTGTGGCGCACCGCCCGCATGATCCGCTTCCAGAATCCGGAGTCGCCGCCTGCCAGCGGCAAACAAATGGCCGGCGTGCAGAGGCGTACTTTCCGCGGAAAATTCCACGGGACTTCCCGCGGAAACTCAGGGCCTTCGTTCTGCCTCAAACGATCGGACATGGGGATAAGGCGCTTCAGGTTGTCCTGCGGTATACTCAGGAATCAGAGTGAATGCTCGAATGCTTGGTAGATTCAAGCAATACATGCCAAGACATCTGGGCATGGGTCAAAATTAAACCACCGGGATATGGACCAGGTTTTGGTTCATGTGTCCACTTACCAGGGCAAGCCATTTGGGGTTAGCAACTATTTTTGACCACCACAGCCATCTGGCCGCGGTCGCGGTTTCCTCCAGCTCGCGGATTCGACGTTGCAGACCTGCGCCAACCGAGTCATGCCATGCCAAGTCGGCATGTGGATGCGGAATCCTGCCTCCTGTCTGTGTCACTTCCATAACCTGTCACCGTGTACGCCCATTGGGTAGGACACAAAAGGACAAAGGATCAGCCAAAGCTCAACTTCTGCCAGCAAACTGGCTGTGGGTCAAAAATAAGTACCCAGAATGGCACCCTGGAAAATGGAAACAATGACTAAAACCTGTGGTCCATATCCTGGTGGTTTAATTTTTACCCATACCCAACTAACAAACGTCTGAAACGCTTTGAAAACTCAGACCTCTCCGAGCAACAACATTGCCCCAGCGTCGAATACGTGCAACGCGCGCCGCTGCGAAAAGCTTGTCTGGACTTGGCAGCCTTGGCAAGAGTTGGCTCATCGATTGCATTTGGGGGATCCCATTCCTTCTGATTCACAGGTTGTTGTCCGTTTCTCCCGGCACATCTCAGTGACCGGATCACAACGGAATGCCAGCGAGCGCCCGACTTGTCAGACACGTGGCTCGACCCAGCCTCCTGCCAGCAAAGCTGGAGAACTTGTCAAGCTGTCCATGCGAAACCACGTCCTGCAGCATCTTGGACATCCAGGAGTCAAAGTTGCTCTTGACCTGCTGACATGGCCATGGGTCAAAATGCAAATCACCTAAAATGGGTGGTGCACAAATCCTTGAAGATGGGCAGCCATTGGTGAGCATCAACCAATCCCCACTAAAACAAAGCCTAAAACGGGTGCACAGATCCCCCAAAAAAGGGATCCCACGACGGTTTTGAGACCGCCGCAGCCACATCAAGCCCATCGACAAGCTTCCGGCCACGAGCTTCCAGGCAACCGCCAACCGGAGAGAAGCACCAAGCAGAGGCATAGGTGTCCTTTTAGGTTGGAACTAGATGGACATCCCTGGTAGATGAGCAAAAACGGCGGGGGGATCACTTTGGTCGCAGTTTTTGGATCACTTTGGTCGCAGCTGAAATCCACTCACTTTGGTCGTAGTTTGAGCATTTGCGGATCACTTCTGTCGCAATTGTTGGATCACTTCAGGCGCAGTGGAAGATAGCTTTTTGAGCACTAACAACAGGACACACGCAAAGGGTGTTGCCTCTCAAACACCTAACAACAAGACATGCCGCGTGGGGTGGGGTCGACAAGGATGTTGCCTCTCAAACACCTAACAACAAGAACTGCCGGGTGGGGTGGGGTCGACAAGGATGTTGCCTCTCAAACACCTAACAGCAAGACATGCCGGGCGGGGTGGGGTCGACAAGGATGTTGCCTCTCAAACACCTAACAACAAGACATGCCGGGCGGGGTGGGGTCGACAAGGATGTTGCCTCTCAAACACCTAACAACAAGACATGCCGGGCGGGGTGGGGTCGACAAGGATGTTGCCTCTCAAACACCTAACAACAAGACATGCCGGGCGGGGTGGGGTCGACAAGGATGTTGCCTCTCAAACACCTAACAACAAGACATGCCGGGTGGGGTGGGGTCGACAAGGATGTTGCCTCTCAAACACCATAGTCAACGGCGAAGAAACTAGGACCGAAGCGAGTAAGGAAACTAGGACCGAAGCGAGATGAAAACTAGGACCGAAGCGAGCCAGCAACTAGGACCGAAGCGAACCCGCGACCAGCAAAAACCACCCGGTAAACCAGCCATTGTTCGACCAAAACCGCCAAAAAGCACACCAACCAAGCGCGTAAACCGGGAATCGAAACTCGACTGGCCATCTATTTTTCGACCACAAAAAAAACACACAAAAAATGACCGACCCCTGTGAGCAGAGGACTCGCAATCTCAGGTCCGCGCCAAGAGTTGCAAGCACGCCACCTGCTCCTTGAGCTGCGCCGTGGCTGCCTGACGAACGGAGCGATGTGAGTCACTTGCTGCAATCAAAACCCAAAAATCCGTACCCCCAGTGAACATCAACCAATCCAACCACTAAAATCGGAAACCTAAAATGGGTGGTGAATTCACCTGCCAACCAAAATGGGATCCCAAAACGGTTTTGACAACCACAGCCATGTGAGTCACTTGCAATCAAAACCCGGGAGTTAAATGGCCCGAATCCCAGAACCATGCTTCAAGAATTGGGTGTGGCTCAAAATCAAAGAACCGGGGTTACGCAAGTTTTAGTCTTTGGTTCCATGTACCAAGGTGCCGTTTTACCTTTTTTTGAGCCACAGACAATTCAGCAGGCGCAATGTGTGCAAGGAGTTCTGGGACTGTCCCTTACTACCCTTCATCTCATTGGGGCTCATGTGATGCCGAAGTTCTCCTTCCCTCCCACCTGCTGGTGGGCGGCTTCCACTTTTCCCTTCAGTCGCCGAATCTCCTGAGATATCTGGTGCTCGGAGTGGTCTAAGTTTTGGGGCGTGGCTTCCTTACATTCTCAAAGCGTTTCAGCCGTTTGTTAGTTGGGTATGGGTCGGAAAGAAACCACCAGAACGCAGATGTGTCAGTCCAGGATTCCATTTTCCAGAAATCCTTTTTGGGGTTACCAGCCATATCCGTTACCTTTTGCCTGTTTGCCATTTTGCCCTCTGCTGATTCTCTGTGATTCTAATCCGGCCCTTTGTTGCATCCACGCGGCTGCCGCTCTGTCTCCACTGCCCCCGCTGCCACCTCCTGCCCTCAGTGGAAGATGAAAGGAATCTCTGCCACTCCGCACCGTCATTCTGAAACCCCTCCTACAGAATCACCGACTGGCATTGGCAGCATCGAGCCACGGAGGCAGAACAACTTCACCAGGGACACACAGCATCCCATCCAGCCGCGACAAAACATGAAAAATCCCAGGCAGACTGATTCATCCCTCGCACAAACGACCGCTTTATGGAGCAGAACCCGAGCCCAAGGATTGGAAGGCTTCCCTCATTCTGGCTTTCCTGGCCTGGACTTCGGTTTCACACCCAAGCCCCGGGCAGAAGCGAGGGTCTGCGCGGTCCAGATGGTCGCCGTGGCATCTGCGGTCGTCAATGAAAGAGAAGAGCAACTTTGATACAATACGGGAAACAAACGTTGTCCTGCACAAGGTTTCATTGATGCACAAATACATGGGCATGAATCTTAATTGGGGACCCTTCGGTGGACATCATTTAGGTGCAGATGCATGTCCACCAACCACTTTTGAGGTGGTTCCCTGTTAAAATTCATTGCCACATTGACGTCCTCGATGCGTTGTGAGACAAGGGCGACGTCCTCTGAGACATGCACTGGCTCCTCCTCGGAGCTCAAATCCTCACCACTCCTCGGGGAGGACTGCGACGCATGGGGCAAAGACCCTTCATCGCATGCCCGAACCCCACCCCCGTACCCTAGGCGAATGGCTTGTGAAGAAAGCTGGCAGTCTTGTCATTCCACCTCATGGCAATGCAGGCGCAAAACAAACCCGCAACAGTTCTCTGCCGCCAAGTTTCTCGTATTTGCACAGCAAACGGAAAAGTCGAGATACTGTCCTCGGATGCTCAAGATGCGCAGATCGAAATTGCAGACGGCACGGCACGCCTGAGGTTCTGACCAGAGCGCGTCGGCATGCTGATGAAAACTCATCTCAGCAGGCTCCGGAAGGTCATCATCTGACAGACAGGCGCAGAGCTTGAAGAAAACGTCAAGCACACGTCAAGCCGACCACTCAACAGTCGGGCGGCTCAGGCCTTTGCAGAAGTAGAACTCGGTCTCTGTTTGAACCGACTCGCTCACCGCGAAAGCAAGCGGAGGAGAGATCTGCGCGGAAAGCAGCTCTCGACATCTTGACACCTGCACGCCAGGCGCCTGCTTCACGGACGACGCTGCCGAACGCCCCTGCCAGAAAAGGAAGAAAAAAAACAAGCCAGCACAGACCTCAAGCAGCAAGTGCGCGCATCTGTTCGCTTCAATCCAACCAAATTGCCAACAAGCAGAGCCCATGTCTGGGCAGCCCAATCAAGCCGCCAGGTGATGGACAAGGCGTTTCCTCACATGAACGGGGTACAGAGAACGAGGAACAATTGGGTAACCAACTGTCGTCGAGTCTTGGCCTCATCAATGTCATCAGCGTCGACAGAGTCGTCTGACTTGGCCTAGGCCGCTTGCGGTTCGCCTGAGCCTCCAAGCAGCTGCCTTGCAGAGAGGCCACGTGACCCCGCAACGGGCTGCGAGGGCTTGAGCCAGCTTTCCACGCTTGCTGTCGGCGATACTTCATCTCCTGCCATATCGAGAGCTTCCAAACTGGCCGATCACAAAGCGCTGGTGCCTGCTCTAGCTCCTTCACTTTTACTCTCAGCGCAGCCTGACAGCACTCAGCACAGAGACGGCAAGAGCAAGAGCAATGGCATGGATATGGCTATGAACTTTAATCGGGAACCACCTCATTTGCGGCAGGTGGACACAAATCCCCACCCATATTGCGGATGTGGCTTGGGCATGTCTAAAAATCAGCTCAGGTGATATCCCCAACAGCCTGCGGTGGAATTCTGGTGGAACCCTCATGGAACCTTACCTCGGGGCCGCCCCGGACCCCGGAGCCTATCTGGGCTGAGACCCCAAAGCTTTCCGCTGGGGAAAACTGCTTGGCCGAGATGCTGCAGCATGAGCCTCTTCCTCGAGCATTGCCTCACAGTTCCGAAAACTGAGCACAACTGTCTCCATGTCTGACACGATCGGGGTGCCACTCTTTGACGACCAGACTTAAACCCAGTGGGTCATGTACCCCAAGGGAACCCCAAAAAGGCTGAAGTCTGTTTGCAGGTAGTCAAAAAAAAAAATGCTGACGATACTACCCGGTTGCCTCCAGCTGGTTTCTTTCCTCGATGAGCTTCGCGTGCGAGCGAGCTTGCAGATGAAGCTCATTCTGCGCAAGTTCACTGATGTATCTGAAAAGTTGAGTGCTGCTCAGACCTACAAGCATGTATGAGCAGCGCCTCCATGTTTTTCAGCCTGCTGTGCATATCTTTGCCCACATTTCGCCCTGGCGTCCAAGTCCGGCTGAGAACTCGTCCGAGTCCTTTCGGATCGGACTTCTGAGGAGGGCGCCGCTGAGCCGATCCACAAACTCGTCGGCGCTTTTTCGTGCCTGTCCAGTTGGATGCAGTTGCGGCTGTGTTGCACTCCGGCCCACCTCTTCGCTTGCATAAAGCGCCTTGCCAAAAAAAAGCGTACACCGGCAGCTTGGTCGGAAGGCTTCCCACAAAAACAAAAAAAAAGGCGCGAAAACCAAGTCCAAACCTCCCCCCTTCCCCTTCCCCCTGCAAGACCCGTTCTACCAACCCTCTGCTACCCTGTCACGCATGGAACATCTACCAGAAAACAACTCGACAACTCAAGGCAATTGAGCATTAAAGCGGCTTAGCATGCTCAGAATAGTTCTGACGAGGCTCGCTCAGCAGCTTCTCAAACTCCGCATGGCAGAAGCTCGCGAGCCGATCCACCTGACGGCCATGGCCATGGCTCGCATCGATGCCGCTGCAAGCCACGGATGCGCAAGCCGGGCCTCGCGGACGCAGATCAGCGCCATGCGATCGATGGCTTGGGCCAGGGAAGCCACCAGCGGCTGAGCCTGGGTGGGCAATCGGCAATATGCAGCTGGACATGCCACAAGCCAGGAGTGTTGGAGTCTGGTTGGATAAACACAGGGCGTGAGTACAACTTCTGCCATGCATGCCTCGCGAGCCTCGGATTGAGTCACAAGTCTCTGAGTGTCTCTCAAAGCTTTTAAGGACCTGACCAGGGCTGCCAGGCGATCTGAAACGGAGAGAAGCCGAGTGAGAGTTCGCCGCGGCTCCGCCAATATGGTCTGCATCCGCTCCAGTGCCGGTGACTTGAGGTCTGTCGGCAACTCCTTCGCGACCTGAAGGGCGAGACAAGTAGAGACAAACGTGGAGTGCAGGGCCAGGTGACCCAAAATATCGACGAATCCCGGGGTGATTTCTTCGCCTGGTTTGTCCCAACTGGCAGAACTCGAGTTGAAGCTTTGCACCTCCCGCAAGAGGTCGTTGAGCACGGAAACGAGGCCCTCGGCATTCGTCTCCCTCTCCCGAAGGGACCGCACCAACGAAGCCAGCGTCGAGTGCTCCGGGTCAACCACCGCCACCAGGCGCCGCTCAAGGGCGCTGCCTACCGCATGCGCAACATGGCACATGGCACGCACGGCATGCAATGCGTTCAACACAAGGCCGAGCTAACAACTTGGTTGACGTTGAAAGGGGAGCAAAAAATTCGCCTCGGCCCCAAAGGGGCCAAGGGCGCTCAGATCTCTTCTCCAAAAAGAATCTTCGCTTTTCCCCTCCAACCACCAAAATTTTGCCGGGCCCCCCCCCCCCCCCCCCCCCCCCTCCACGGCTTGTCGGCTCTGTCCGGCGAGCCTTGAAATTTTCGGGGTTCGTCGGCGTCCAGCTCCATGGGTCCATTTTTGTCGAAAATGTGCTGACAATGCGAAAACCACTAAAAAAATGGCTTTTTTGTCCTGAAAAGCATGACCTCCTGGTTGGCCAGGCCTGCCTGACGTGTCTGAGACTAGGCTCAGGCCCAGCCCAACCAGCAACCCGCCTGCTGGCCAGGCCTGTCAGCCCCACCCAGCTCAGGCCCAAGCTTGTCTGAAACAGGCCTACTCCAAGTCATCCAGCAAGCCCAGCCCAGCGCCCAGCCCAGGCCCTAGGCCGGCCACAAGGTCAGGTTTGTCTAACGCCAACGACCCAGTCTCACGTGTCTGAAACTGGTCTCAAGCTATGCCAGCCACCAAGCCCGTCTGACGTGCCCCAGCCCCTCAGCCCGGCTGCCCAAGCAACTCAGCCCAGGCTGGCCAGGCCTTGACCTCCTGCTCGCGTCTGGCCCCAAGTCATCAGCCCCGTACGCCAGCCTGAGACTGGCCTCAGGCCCAGCCCAGCCAACTCGCCACCCAGCCTCAGGCCCAAGTGTGTATGAAACAGGCCTTGCCCATCCAGCAACCCGCCCAAGCACAGCTCAGCCCAGCCCGCCCAGCCCAAGTTCCAGGCACAACCAGCAGCCTGGTCCGGCTGCCCGGCAGCCAGCAACCCACCCATTGGCTTCGCAGCCTCGTGGCTGAGACTAGCTTCAGGCCCAGCCCAAAGCCTGCCCAGCCCAGGCCCAGCTCAGGGCATGCCAGCCACTACCGGCCCCCAGCTCCCAGCGCCAAGGTCAGGTTTGTCTAACGTGTCTGAGACTGGCCTCAGGCCAACGACCAGTCTCACGTGTCTGAGACTGGTCTCACTCAGCAGCCCAGGCTGACCAGGCCCCTTCGACGCAGTCTGAGACTGGTCTCAAGGTATGCCAGCCTGAGACTAAGGCCCAGTCCCTCAGCCCGCCTGCTGGCGTGTCTTACGTGTCTGCGACTGGCCTCAGGCCCAGCCTAGCCAGCAACTCGCTACCCAGCCTCAGCCCATCCAGCGACCCGCCCAAGCACAGCTCAGCCCAGCCAGCCGAAGTTCCAGGCGCAACCAACACCATAATCCAGCTGCCCAGCACCACCCATGGCTTCGCAGCCTCGTGGCTGAGACTAGCTTCAGGCCCAGCCCAACCAGCAACCCGCCTAAGCCAACCCCACCCAAGCCCACCCGGTTTGAGACTCGCAGGCCTCAGCCTATCTAGCGCCGAGACTGGGCCTCACCAGCCTGGGCTCAACTAGCGTCTAGCCCAGCCCAGTCCGCCTGCTGGCCAGGCCTGTCTGACGTGTCTGAAACTGGCCTCAGGCCCAGCCCAGCCATAGCCCAGCCCCCTCAGTGCGGCTGCCCAGCCCGCCGTAAACTAGCTTCAGCTCAACCAACAACCCACGCAAGCAAGGTCCAGCCAAGCTGCCCGAGACTAGCTTCAGGCCCAGCGCAGGCTTATCTGATGTGTCTGAGACTAGCCTGTGGCCCAGCCCAACCAGGCGAGGCCGGCTTGTCTGACTTGTCTGGAGCCAGCTTCAGGTATTCGGACCTTCCCAACACTGGATTTCGGTGTTCCTGACCCTTCCCTCAAACTAGGCTGGGCCGAGGCGGGCAACGCGAAGCGTTTACAATTAAATTTTGGCAATTAAGTGGGGATTTCCCACTAAACCACAATAAGCAAAATGTAAGATGTTTCCCAACAACAACCATGACAAGAGCAGAGTCAGTCCCACCCCGCCTTTCAAGTGCCGGCTCTTCATATTGTAGGCAATGTGCCTCACCTCTTTGGGGCTCAAATCCAGGCGCAGCGTATGGACATCATTTGGCAGGCACTGTGTCTCCATGCTGATACCATCTGGATCCTTCACCAGGAGGGGCACACGTGAGGCAATCTGCAAGCTGGTAAAGGATTGATTTCCTCTCCGTGTTTCCAGATTCTGAATTTCCACGGTGAGTGCGTTCATCAGCTCATCCAAGTCCGCATCTTGATCCTGGCAAAGTGATATGCAAGAGACAAAGGCTCACCTCAACAGAAAAACATGTGCCCATTACAAGCTATTTTGTCACAAAGGAGTTAACCTGGTATAGCGTTGCCTACAAATATGCTGACTGTTTCCCATTGCATCCTCGTTTCAGGAACCCAGGTGCTTTGTGTCTCTTGGTGTGGGAAGGAAACGCCGTGGTTTTGGGAAAACTCTTAACATGAATTAACCTTCTATAGCGTTGCCTACAAATATGCTGACTCTTTCCCATAGCATCCAAGGAAGCGCGCGGTATTTTTTGGAATCCTTGTGCACAAAGGGCAGGTTGCTGCTGGTGTTCACCAACTCCTCCACGGGGCGCAGCCTGCATCTCTCCTCGGCCAAGTCGCGGAGATGGGTGCAAGCCTGCGCGGCCTGCCGCGCCGGATCCCACTCGGACAGCGCTCGATCCTTGGTTGCTGCAACGACCCCCCTGCAAAAAGTCAATAACTGTTGGGGGGGTTAGTGGAAAACCCAACTTGATTTAGCAAAAAAAAAAAAGTCTAAAGATCCAACCCAGCAGTCAAGAATCATCAGCTTCCGTGTCGCGCGAGCCCAAGCTGCTCTTGTAGTACTTGTATTTCTCCGACCGCTCCACGGTCTCATCTGTGCAATCGGCGGTGTCTCCCGTCTGCAGGATGCACGGCAGCAGGTTGGCGCGCAACTCGTTGCGCTTGAGGTGCCTCACGTCCGTGCAGCGCTGGAAGACCCGCGGTGTCTTCAGGAGCCGCTGCACGCCCTCCCCCTGCGAAGCAGGTCGCGGTGAGCCTCTGGTGCGCTCGCGGATGGTCTGGATCCGAACCATGGCTCAGCTCTCATGGCTTGCCGAGGGCCAAGCGATTTGGGAATGGTGCACCATCTTGTGAAAACTAAGTAAGATGTGCTGGATGTAATCAGCTTTTCAGATATGCTCTTCGTTGGCTCGTTGGAATGGTTTGCTTTGCTGCTCTGTCAACAACTAGCATCACCTCACATATCAGATACCATGGTCAGCTATTCTACCTCAAGTGTTGAACACGCGGCCAACAAAGCAAGCAACAATTGTGCATAGCGTGGTCAGGGTTCCACTTTTTGACTACCCGCAAATAGACTTAAACCCAGGGGCGGGTCATGTACCCCAAAAAGGGAATTAAGTCTATTTGTAGGTAGTCCAAAAATTGAACCCTGAGCGTGGGCTCGTCACAGCGTTGCTCCGAAAGGCACCTCTCCAGTGCGTTCTCGCCTCGGTTGTGGCGCTGGTGCACAGGAAGACGCTCACTCAAACGCTTTCCCAAGCGGAGACAGAAAGCAAATGGCTGTGGGTCAAAAAACCGGTACCAAAATGGGTTGCCCTGGTAAGTGGAAACATGGACCAAAATCTGCGGTCCCCTGGTGGTTTACTTTTGACCCACACCCAAATCAAGCAGCAGGATCAAGTGATGAGGTCTGGTATGGTTTCTTTGCTTGGAGGTGCCTTCGGATGGCCGCCAGAGCGAATCCTCGCTTGCGCCTCGAAGAACAGGGCAGCAGGAGACCAAAACACAGAAGGCCATGAAAAGGCCATGAAACAGAAGGCTTGATTTATATGGCCATGGGTCAAAATCCTGTACCCCCAGTGAACATCCCAATCCCCGCTAAAATGGGTGGTGCACTTACCCCAAAATGGGACCATTGGTTTTGACAATCACAGCCGAATCGGACGCTGACTGGGCCATCCAACTTGCTTCGCAAATCCTGCCACAGCTCCGCCTCGGTACCACACATCGGTCAACGCCTCACGCTCTCCAAGAAAGGAAACGCGGCTTCACTCTGGCGCACCCAAACGGGGAAATCGCTAACGAGTGTTCGCCCGGCAGCACCAAGCAGGTCCTGCACCATGTATCACTTCACCACAGACATGGGCATGAATTTTAATTAGGGACCCTTTGGTGGACATCCTGTAGGTGGGGGTTCATGTCCACCAACCGCAAATGAGGTGGTTCCCTCTTAGAATTCATGGCCACATGACATCAAAGAGATGCGCAGCGAAAGAAGAAGAAAAAAAACCGTGCATTGTTCGCCGAAGAATTTTCCGCCTCCAAAGCCTCCTCTTCGAGGCAAAAGGCGGCTGCCTCGAAAGATCCGTGAACTTTCGCATACCTGGGGTCGAAGCAAAAACCCGCGTCGAAGCGCTCCGTGCATGTTCTTCCCTCTCGGCATCTCAGTTTCGTACGCCTTTTCGATGAGGGCAGGCCAGTCCTGCAACTGCATCCTTTCAAACAGGGATCCTTACATTATACACCAGAACGTTGCCTTGTAAATGGTGGTTTCCCTTTATTTTGGTGGAAAAAGCCATGTTTCAAATGGGCAAAATGTATCTTTTAAGGAGCCATGTCAAACCATTCGTTTAGAGGACTGAGGGACTGAGGTTCTGTCCTGGCCCCCGCAGTTGCTGCACAAAGATTTCTCGTTCCTTGGGCCGCAGCGAATCCCACCCGTCTTGGCAACTCGAGCTCTCAGTGCATGGCGGGGACACCGGAAGGCGATCATCCAGGACCTGGCGGGAGAATCCATGACTAGCCATGGGTGAAAATCCAAAGACCGTACCCCCAGTGAACATGAGCTGGTGAATCAGCTGGACAGCTTATTGGCAAGCTGACTAGGCAACTGGCGAGGTACGCGTCAGCATTCACTTGCATTTAGCAGGGAGCATGCACTGATTTGCTTCTGTTGATGCTGATGAGTAAAAATCCCGTACCCCCAGTGAACATCCCAATCCCCACTGAAATAGACTAATCTTGGTGGTGCACCTACCAACCAAAATACGGTTTTGACCCAAAGCTACTGAGTTCAGCCGAACCATGTCGCAGCGTACCTCGTACATCCATTCACCATCCTGCGCACTTCAGCCCAAGGTAAGCAACGCACGCATTCACATGCAGGTGTTGCAGCAAGTACAACTGCCTCACTCTCCCCGCCTTGAAAAACCGAACTCCATAAACGCCAGCTTCCGGCTCTCGCCACACGATGAGCCTCGGGCAAACCGGCACCCGCGTGCCAATTCAAGCAAAAGACCTTTTGGCGCCGCTGAGCTCGCCCACTCTTTCGGGTCCCTGCCACTGCTGCGCATCGTGGCTAAGGCACCTTGGAAAATCGGCAGCGAAGCAACTTTTGGCTGTGGTTGTCAAAACCAATGGTGGCCCATATTGGGGTAGGTGAATTCACCACCCATTTCAGTGCCTATTTTAGTGGGGATTGGAATGTTCACGGGGGGTACGGGATTTTGACCCATGGCCATTCTTGGCCGAACCCGGCAAATTGAAGGCTTGAGTTCGCGCGTGGTTCGCCATTTGTGCAGCTTGATGCTCGTGCAAAAACCGTCATGTGTGCGTGCGTGTGTGTTTGCTTTCCAATCCAAAACCCTGCTTGCCGCGTTCCACTATCCTGAAAGTGCGTTCTTGTCAGTGGAGCTTCTGTGAAAAAGCGCTCAAAATGAAACCCCCTGAAAAACTCAAGGCTGGCGTTTGAGATGGCCTAGACTAACCCGAAAAGACGCGTAGATTGACTGCTGTTTTTCCCTTCATATTTATCTTCGGCGGTATCATCAAATTTGGACCCCCTTGCCACAAAACAATGTGACTGTGAGTGTCTGCGCGTGCTGGTTCCGGCAAGTTTCGCGTTTGCGAATTGCCAGCCAGCCTGATTTGCATGCTTGCATTTGCCTACTAACCTCGGTGTTCGATTCCATTACAGGGCTGACCCGGCCAGTGGCAGCGTTTGGTGAAATTGGTCCGGGGTTGGGGGTATTCAAGCCTTTGCAAGCAGTATTCAGCTCCAGCGATGCACCGTCAGACCGAGGAATGACGCTAGGCGCTGCCCATCGTGATCCATCACTGCACAGACGGCACAGAGCCATAACCACGCCCTTTACAAGGCCGAGTCCACAGGAGCAGCTGCACTATAACAATGCCTGTCTCTCACCGCCCCCGCCCCCCCAGGTGTGGTTGCTCTGGATGCATGCTAGATACTTGCGTGCTCGTACCTAAATTTCAAGCTCGCAAAGCGTACATCACAGTTCCGTGGATGCTGTTCATTCTTGATGAGTAATGTTGACCCCGGATTCATAAGCCCCTCTGCTTATTAATATGGGGGTGTCCCATTCTGGTTTTAGTGGTTGGATTCAGACCACTTTTGGAGGGGAACACACCCATACTAATCCTCGCTTTCAGCAGCTTCACCAAAACCACGAGAACATCCTGGCACCTGCACAAGGCCCGCTGGTCCCGGTGGCATACACCGGCCAGGTGAACACACAGCAACACTTAAGACGTCCAGAACTTGAAGCTCCCTGCGGAGCGCAGCCCCGTTTTGGCACATTTGCAAGTGGGAGCTCACGCGTGTTCCGTTGCGCGTGCAGCTCACCTGTTGCGTGCCGAACGCGCTTGCTCACGCAGTAAAACGCATGCGCTTCAAGCCCAAAAGGGGCAGGTTGGTAGGCGGGCAGCCACTCAGGCAACCAAGCACGTCACATACCAAATTTGTTTCCCTTCGCTGTTCGCGCATTTTGTGCTGCCCGAAACCTTGAAAATCGAGTTGAGGGAACAGCATGGGGAAAGAGAAAGTACCCAAAGCAGTACCACTCAAACGCTCCGTCCCCTGCAAAAGGCTGTGTCCTCTATCCACTGCCCACAATTCAACAGTTTGTCCAGGTCTAAGGTCTGAACCCTGCAATGGCAAGCTGCCCAACGCCCCAGTCTCAAGCACCTCAATGTGGCTCAAAGTGGGCCGGTGCCTGCCGGAGCAATGCTGCGGGCGAGCCTCGCCAGATCTCTCTCCAGCCGCAGGGGAACTTCCTGGCGCGCAGGAGCACGAGTCCGAGTCTGGCATTCGTGGCGTCGATGTCAGATCATATGGCTGTGGGTCAAAAATAGGTACCGAAAATGGAACCCTGACCCACACTAGCGTGTGTGCCGGTTTAAGTTGTCAGTTTCTGTGCTGACTTCGTGGAAGCTGCCTTCACCGGGCGCCACCCTTTCAGAGGCCCGCTGCCAAGTTGCATTCCTCAGCTCGGTCAAGGAGTGGGAGCAGCCGTGGTGCAGAGGACTCAATCACAGTGCCAGGTGAAGCAAGGTAAATGGAACTAAAAAGACTAAACCTCTGCGTAACCCTAGCTCGGCAATTTTGAGCCACACCCCAATCTAAGGTCTCACTTCTGAGTCGTGTGATTGCTGGTCGCCATTCGCCTCAGGGTGGAGCGTGGCACCCACTCCGAAGTTGCCAGAGGGATTCTGGCCTCGGCGCGGTCCATCAGATTGCTTTCGCTCACAAGTCTCTTCGGGTGAATACGTGCATTTATGCTACACATGACACGGGTATGAACTTTCATAAGGGGCCCTTTGGTGGACATCATTCAGGTGGGGATGCATGTCCACCAATCACTTTTGAGGTGATTCCCGGACAAAACTCATGGCCACACATGCCTCCGTATACATTGCTCAAACGGCCATGCGAGTCCCCGTCGTGCAAGCCGTGGTCTTCATGAAATCAGCCACTGGTCTTCACTCCTGCTGACTCCTTTTTTCCGGCTCCTTTGCTTGAGTCAGAGCCTGCGGAGGACTGCAAGCCTCAGTTGCATCGCATGAGCAACATTCGAAGCTAGCCGTGTCTGCTCGAGATGGAAATTACGGTGGCCATAATCGCTGTTCAAGCCGCCAATCTTTAGAAACGTTGTAAACCAAACGGTTTCTTCTCTCGAAGACGTGCAGCTTTGCAATTCCAAAGAAAGTCAAACTCGTCACCAGCAGAAGAATTCGTCTCTGCTCCACCAACAAACGGCCGCTCTCGCGCGCTTCAAGCCTTCAAGCCCCGGGCGATGTCCGGTTGCCCTAATAAGGCCGCGATCTGTCGCCGCGCCCGCCGCCCTTTGGGCCCTGAAACGTGGAGCCAAGCCGTTTCAAGCTGTGCGCAGGGGCCAAAGAGGCTCCGGCCTCGCCATCGGCAAGACGGACAACCAGATTGCCATCTCCAGGCTTGATCTCATACCTGGCTTCACCCTCAAGGGCGCTGTCTTGAGTCTTCGGGCCGGGTGTAGCCCGACAACAACTAGCAGGTTGCTTCGCAGATTCCAAATCTCACCCAGAAAGACAAGCACTGGCAGTGACTCATGTGCTTGGCCAGAGCACCCCGTGGCCATAGCAGCGATTGCATTGTCAGCCTCACACGGGCCGGGCGCAGGAGCAGAAAGTGCTGGGAGGACACCCAAAAAACCTTTTCAAACAAAAATATCTCAGGTAGGCTAGGTTGTTTAGGTCTCTGCGCATCAAAAACGGGCCTCATTGGACCGGGAGTATCTTACGAAGGCGGATGCCTGGCCGCTCTTCGACCTAACACCGCACCGCAATGCCGCAAGCGCGCGAGCCCTCATTGAATGCGGGAACCCGCCTGCCAGTCATGATGTGTACATCGTCCACAGGCCTCGGGATTGCAAGACGGGAAGAAAAAATAGGTCAAGTGCAATCAAAGCCGCATTCGGGGGTCACAGTTGAGGTTACTGCCCGTAGGTGCCGAAAACTTGAATGAGCGCCTCCAGGCAAACAACATGGGCATCAAACCTTGAATGCCAACCCAAGAAGCCGTGCTCTATGCTCAACCCAGCCTCTTTGGAAATATCTGTAGGCAAATTTCCCACATATACCTTCGAGCCAGAAGCTTGGCTTCCACCTGGAGCTGCTGCTTTCAGATGCTTCTACGACTGCCTGGTCGGGCCTCGTCTGGCATCATCCCTTGGAGCCCTATCATCCCCTGCCACCGAATGTTTTGAGGTTCACCACGGCTTGCGCGGTCCCGCTAATACTTGGGGGGATTTGAACCCAAGTAACAAACCATTACTCCATACCCCTGCCAGCAAAAGCGGCCTACAAACCATGCCAGAAGGACGGTAAGCGGTTGAAGCATAGTTTCCTGCATCTCTCTCATAACCTCCATAGCCTCTGCGATCATAGTCTTTGGCCGGCGGAGCATAGCCTCTGTCAGATCCCCGGTAGCCGTCCAATGCGCGCTCAGGTCTGTCATAGTGCCCATGGCCTTTCGCAGGACCGTAGCTGTCGTAACCTCTGTCATAAGCTCTCTCATTCCTGGAGAAGTCTCGCTCACCTTAGCAACAAGCCGCGGACGCTCGCAAACAGTCGATCGTGGCTTGTTCGCTATTTTCGGGCGGGCGGGCGGGCGGGCGGGCGGGCGGGTGGGCGGGCGGGTGGGTGGGTGGGTGGGTGGATGGGCGGGAGACGCAATCCGAAACTGCGGAAAGTAGGCAAGGAATGCACTCAGCTTACCCCCTGCGACTCGGGACGAACGAAGATCTGTCCGGTGGTCTGTACTGAAAACTTCGCGATCGAGAGGGTCAGGAGCCTTTTTGGGGACCTTCGTGACAACATCAAGGACAGGGACGGCGGCCTGGGGAGGATGGATTCTTACCAGGCACGGGAGGTGAGATCCTTGAGGAGGCGGAATGAGCGGAGCAGGAGCGCGTGGCTCCTTGAGTGGATGAGCGAGGTGCAAAAATCGTTTCAGAATCAGACCCAGTCTTCTTGGAGAATCTGTAGCTGAAGCGTTTCAACTTGCAAACCACCCAGACTCTCTCCAGAGCACGGCAAAAGGTGCTGTCCACATCAAGACTCAAGCCAAAACTGCAGAAAAGCAAGGCGTGCACTCATCTGAACCATACGTTGAACATGAGCATATACATACATGTGAATATATGTGTACGCGTGTGTGTGTGTGTGTGATTCAGGCACGAGCCTTGCACCCAGGCAAGTGGTTTTGGGGGTAAGCAAGCCACAAAAGCAAGACTCCAAAGTTCACCCATCTCCAGTCCCAAACACCCGGAAGTTCCAACGTTCCAGTAACCAACCACAAGAAAGAAACCAAACCAGAAAGTGAAAAGGATGCCCGCAGCCTAGGCCGACGATGAACCGCACGAATTGCCCCCCACCAATCCGCGGGCCGATGTCTCTTTCTCCGACACGACGCTCATCCGAGCCCGCGACGGGTCTGAAGATGAGCAACATCCCATCGCTAGGTCGCTAACGCGCCATCCCGAGTGACACTTGCAACACAATGTGTATACATACAATATACATATATATATATATTATAATATATATATGTTATGTATATCAATATATATATATATATATTGTGTTTATATATTATTGTCTAGTTATGCTCGGTAGCAGTCAATGTCACGACCATCTAAATAGAAATTCCAAAAACATTTGCTTCCTGTGAAGGCCTACGCGTCAGCGTCCAACGTAGATACATGTGTGTACAAAAAGCATGTCTAGTGCTCTTGTTGAAAAATATAGGGGGGATATAATTCCGACAGTTAGAAAGACAACCAAGAAGCGGCATGCAGAATCTTATAAGGGAAGGTGCCATGTTGTATGCATGGACTTTTGCACGGACAGCGTCCTGCATGTCTCTCATGAAGGGGTTTCTATGACAGCTGGCCATGGGTCAAAATCCCGTACCCCCCGTAAACATCCCAATCCCCTCTAAAATAGGAAACCTAACATGGGTGGTGAATTCACCTACCCCGAAATGGGATCCCATTGGTTTTGACCCACAGCCAGCTGGCCCCTCTCCTCCTTGAGTGCTGGACCTCGAAACTCCTCTCGGCCGGCACGGGGTGCATAGCCGGCCCCTGGATCCATGTCGCGCGCTTGGTAGCCACCGCGCGCGTAGCCGTCGCCCGTACCTCTGAATGCAGGCAATCATGCAAACCGGTGCAATCGGTGCAACTGTGGATGGACGAAATCCGCTTCGCACCACTTTGAAACCACGGGAAACCACTGTGTGTTGGTATTTACATGGGGAATCATCAGAAACCAGGGCTTCTTAGGTGGTGCAAAATGGAGTTCTTCCATCCGCAGCAAACAAGTGCAACGAAGCCAGAGAAGGTCTGCTCATTTGCCGACCTTGATCACCCCTGTAGACAGGGCGGCCACTTGGAGTTTCATACCTGAGCGCTGGCAAAGCACCAAGCACGGTTTTTGGGGGTTATCAAAGTCAGTAAATGGGGTTGTTTTTTTTTAACCCACCACTTAGGGGGTGACCTTGATCATGGTAAGATCATGAGGCCAGTGGGAAGCCAACAGGATGACCACGATGACTCAACTCCGCTCAAAGGGTCTCTGTCTGAGAGCGCGGCGACCCACCTGGCTTGCATCACACGCCGAAAAACGCTTGGACGGCGACAGCACATCTCCCTCCCGAGCCTCGGTCGCTATAGCTGCTGCCGTAACCTTTGTCCTGGTAGGCGCATGGGAATGTCACACCCATCCGCACGCACGCGCACACACACACACACACAAAGCAAAAGTGTGATCACTCATACAGTACGTGCCATGCTGGTTGAAGCAACTGTCCTTGCCCTTGCCATCCCCTTTAGCATCTCCCTTACCACGCGGAGGGCGTGCATAGCTGACGTGAATCGCATCTGGAGAATCCTGGTACAACAAGAACGGAATTGGAACATGTGTCGCGACAAAGCAACCAACATCCAGCAAGTCCTCACGGAAACGGTACACCTCATTCAGCACCTGTGTAGGGATGTGCATTTCGCGGATCACATTGTGCTGAACACTGGTCAAGCTGCACGTCTGTGCGTAGTGTGGCATGTGGGTGTGGGTCAAAAATAGGTACCCCGAATTCGGAATCCTGGCAAATGGAAACATGGTCCTTACTCAAACTGACTGACTGGCCGGTCAAACATTATCCATTTTGGAACCCTAGTAAATGGGTTGCCAAGGACGAAAATCCGCGGTCCGTTTCCTGGTGCTTGAAATTTTGACCCATACCCAACTGTGCTCGCCTGCACCGCCGTTCTGGCCGTCTCCAAGGACTTGTAGATCACGAAGGCGGTGCGCTGGCAGAAGCACCCGCTTGCTGTGAAGGAGACGGCTGTGCTTCTTTCTGAACTTGAAAATGAAACGGGGGGGGGGGGGGCAAACCGCAGGAATCTTGGTCCATGTTTCCACTTTCCAGGGCAACCCATTTTGGTCCCTTTTTGCTTTTTTGAGCCACTGCCATTTGCCGCTGGCCTCATCAGGCCTGTTGGATCGCGAAGCGTCCATGAGCACAACCTCAGTGTCTTGGACGCCGTCGACGTGAGAGCAGGCGGTCACCAAGAACGCCAGCCTCTTCGACGGGTCCATAGGTGCTGAACACCTGTGACGCGCTCGGCCGTCTCCTCTCTCGGAAGCGCCGAAGCTCGCTTCTGTTGGGCCTCTTCAATCTCGTCGGGGCGGATGTCCTCGAAGCTCGCTCATGGAAGTGCCGTTCTCATTACCGGCAACGCTGCAATGCTCCGTGCGTCCTGCGGCAACTTCGCCACGAACAGTTTCTTGCCTTCGGTCATCGCCTGACACGCAGTCAGCTTGCAACCTGCCAGCAAGCTATCCCAAAAAGGTTGACCAAGTAGAGAACGGGGCGTGACCGATGGACAGAAAAATTCGGAAATCGAAACCTCACCCACTAAACCAAGAGAAAGACTGCAATGTGGCTGTGGGTCAAGAATACGTACCCAAATTGGAACCTTGGTAAATGGGTTGCCAAGGACTAAAACCTGCGGTCCATATCCTAGTGGTGTAATTTTGACCCACACCCATGTGACGAAGACCGCAGCACTCCACGCCTGAAGCCTACTTCCGGTGCATTTGCCAAAGTCAACGCCGTGCTTGTGGTGCTTTTGTGGCTGCACAACAATGCTGTGGGTTTTTCAGCAAGCAGACCTGGCGCTTGGCATGCGGCAAAGTGGTTGATTACATGGCGTTGATTTTCCAAAAGCTGAACTCCTCGGTCTGGTCACCGAGTCATGTTTGCAAGCGTGCTACTGCTTGATTTCAGCCGCGCGGAGAAGGCGGACAAAACTATGGGCATGCCACGCACCCGGAGCCAGAGGCTGCACAAGCACCAGTCTCAGCCACCGGAAGCACAGATCTCCGACTCACTGACGCTGACCCGAGGATGCCCGCCATTCGCAAAAAGTGACGTCGCAGTGGCTGGAAAGTCGGGGTCCTGGAACCTAGGCTCATGCTCCAGGATAGCACATGCCGACATGCCATGCACCGCTTTCAACCTGGTTGACGTTGAAAGGGGAGCAAAAATTTCAAATTTCAGCAGTTCAGTGGGGAGTTCCCACTAAACCGCAATAAGCAAAAAAAAGTAAAATGTTTCCCAACAACCACCATGTTAAGGTCATCGCTTTCGTCCAGCTGCCCGGCACTCTGCAGCAATGGCCTTTCTGCTGCGCAGATCGAAGAGTCGTTCGTGATTTGGTGGCTCTCCTGCCTCCACCTCCCTCCGACACATCGCGATGCACTGGTCCAACTGCACCTTGCAACCTGCTGGCTCCTTCGACTGGAAGTTTTTGTTGGTTAGATTATGGTCGTGATTTGGTTCAGATTTCAACGGACAGAAGTCTCTGTTGGCCAGATCACGGCGGTTTCAACGCACAAGACGCTTCAGGGTTCAACGGACGTGCTTTGCTTTCTTTCGAGGACGTCGGAAAAGATTGGAAGCCCCGCTTGTGCACATCCCTCTTTGTCTCCTGGCACAGGCCCACGCTGCGATAGCGCTGCATGACACCAGCTCTTCCTCGTGCCTCAGCCACGCTGCATGCTTTAGGACTGATCTGCGGCAGCTTAGGCGCGCACAGGGCCTTGGAGCCCTTGGAGCCCTTGAAGCCCTTGCGGCCCTTGCGGCCCTTGCGGCCCCTGTGGCCCCTGTGGCCCTCGTGGCTCCTGAATCCCCTGCGCTGGAGCTGGAGCTGGAGGCGCTTGCCTCGCCAATCCTCCACCTGTTGATGGCGGCATCGGGGAGGCCCACCCCGTCGCCGCCTCGCGCGGCGAGACGTCGGAGCTTGACTCACGCCTCACCCCCAAAGCCTGTGCCAGCGGCTCGGAGAACTGCTGCCTCGTCTTCAACACATCTGCCCTCACATATTGTGGTTGTCAAAACCAATGGGATCCCATTTTGGTTGGTAGGTGCACCACCCATTTTAGTACCCGTCTTAGTGGGGATTGGGATTGGGTACGGGATTTTGACCCATGGCCATATGACTCTCGCACCATATCCGCCGACATTGCTCGGCGTGTCGGACACCTAAGAGAGGAGAGGATAACCCCCCCCCTAACCCCCCCCCCCCACCCGACGTCTGATACGTGGGGGGGGGGCCCCCCCCCCCCCCCACCCCAAGGACCGCGCGGCAATTTGATGACGTTCCACCAAACGTAGTCTTCGGGGAGCCGGTGTCGCAAAACAGGGGTCCCAGGCTCGATTCCCCCTGCCGGCTTTTTTGCTGGGTTGGGCTTCCTGCATCCTTTTGCCGAAAATCTGGCAAAACTCTGTGTTTTTGGACATCCTCTTTGCGAAAACGCTGGAAAAACCGTGTTGTTTGCGGGAAATACTGGGGAGCAAAGGGGAAGTGCAAGGATACATACATACATACATACAGACAGACAGACATACAGACATACATTACATTACATTACATTACATTACATTACATTACATTACATTACACAACATTACATTAGTTTACATTGCATTACAGTACATTACATTACATTACATACATACATATGTACACACATACATACATACATACATACATACATACATACATACATTCATTCATACATACATACATACATACATACATACATACATACATACATACATACATACATACATACATACATACATTCCATACATACATACATACATACATACATACATACATACATACATACATACATACATACATACATACATACATACATTACATACATACATACATACATACATACATACATACATACATACATACATACACATACATACATACATACATACATACATACATACATACATACATACATACATACACTACATACATACATACATACATACATACATACATACATACATACATTCATACATACATACATACATACTTTACATACATACATACATACATACATACATACATACATACATACATACATACATACATTACAAACATACATACATACATACATACATACATACATACATTACATACATACATACATACATACATACATACATACATACATACATACATACATACATACATACATACATTACATACATTACATTACATTACATTACATTACATTACATTACATTACATTACATTACATTACACACATACATACATACATTACATACATACATTACACACATACATACATACATACATACATACATACATACATTACATACATACATACATACATACATACATACATACATACATACATACATACATACATACATACATACATACATACATACATACATACATTACATACATACGTACATTACATTACATTACATTACATTACATTACATTACATTACATTACATTACATTACATACATACATACATACATACATACATTACATACATACATACATACATACATACATACATACATACATACATACATACATACATACATACATACATACATACATACATACATACATACATACATACATACATACATACATACATACATACATTACATACATACATACATACATACATACATACATACATACATACATACATACATACATATTCATACATACATACATACATACATACATACATTACATACATACATACATACATACATACATACATACATACATACATACATACATACATACATACATACATACATACATACATACATACATACATACATACATTACATTACATACATTACATACATACATACATTACATACATACATATACATACAGTCCGCCGACATTGCTCGGCGTGTCGGAACACCTAAGAAAAAGATAACCCCCCCCCCCTAACCCCCCCCCACCCGACCGTCTGATACGTGGGGGGGGGGGCCCCCCCACGGACCGCGCGGCAATTTGATGACGTTCCACTAAACGTAGTCTTCGGGGAGCCGGTGTCGCAAAACAGGGGTCCCAGGCTCGATTCCCCCTGCCGGCTTTTTTGCTGGCTTGGGCTTCGGGCTTCCTGCATCCTTTTGCCGAAAATCTGGCAAAACTCTGTGTTTTTGGACATCCTCTTTGCGAAAACGCTGAAAAAAACACGTTTTTTTTGCGGGAAATACTGGGGAGCAAAGGGGAAGTGCAAGGATACATACATACATACATACATACCTACCTACCTACATACATACATACATACATACATACATACATACATACATACATACATACATACATACATACATACATACATACATACATACATACATACATACATACATACATACATACATACATACATACATACATACATACATACATTACATTACATACATTACATACATACATACATACATACATACATACATACATACATACATACATACATACATACATACATACATACATACATACATTACATACATACATACATTACATACATACATACATACATACATACATACATACATACATACATACATACATACATACATACATACATACATACATACATACATACATACATACACATATACATACATACATACATACATACATACATACATACATACATACATACATACATACATACATACATACATACATACATACATACATACATACATACATACATTACATACATACATACATACATACATACATACATACATACATACATACATACATACATACATACATACATACATACATACATACATACATACATACATACATACATACATACATACATACATACATACATACATACATACATACATACATACATTACATACATACATACATACATACATACATACATACATACATACATACATACATACATACATACATACATACATACATACATACATACATACATACATACATACATACATACATACATACATACATACATACATACATACATACATACATACATACATTACATACACATACATACATACATACATACATTACATACACATTACATTACATTACATTACATTACATTACATACATACATACATACATACATTACATTACATACATACATACATACATACATACATACATACATACATACATACATACATACATACATACATACATTACATACGTACATACATACATACATACATACATTACATACATACATACATACATTACATACATACATACATACATTACATACATACATACATACATACATACATACATACATACATACATACATACATACATACATACATACATACATACATACATTACATTACATACATACATACATACATACATACATACATACATACATACATTACATTACATTACATTACA